TTTACTAGCAGTGGTTATAACCGTTTTTTTTAGGTTCACCGTATGTTGGACAGCGCACTAGAAAGCTATTAGCAGAATTTGACGAAATAAAAGTCATACATTTCATGAGAACATAAATATTTTAGATGTACACGGCCAAGATTCACTAATCGAAGATCAGAATGTCAGGAGGTAGAAATTGAGCGGTGTCGCTAAATAGCATAGAGCCCCACTTGTGTAATCCCTCCTACTAAAACGTTTACTCAAATACTTCGACAAACGTTCAACTGGCTTCGGTATATATTTTATGTCTGTTATGGCGGCAAACGTAATTTGTGCTCGTATTCAAAGTTTAAAGTCTCTCTTGCCATTCTGGTTTTCTGCAGTCCAGAGAAGACCATCTCTAAATTCAGAATTTGAGGTTAGAAAAACGAATCAAAGCAGTACACAAATTATGCCGGTCCGGTCGTTATAAGAGGAAGCTCCTTTTATGTCAACTAAAGCACACATACCAGCTCCCACAGTTAGAGGCCCCGCTTCACATCGTGACGCGAATATAGGGCAAGTGTGAGGAATGACTTCCAATATTTACCTGATGGAGACAAGAAATGCATGATTGCGGGACTGCAAAAGTATCCTGTCGCTATTTTAATAAATTCTATTTCTCGAAAGTCTCTGGTAAGCATATTAGCAAGTCGAAATGAAATTACTGAAGAGCATGTGACACACTTCGCATTGCGAAAGCTAGTGTAAGAATGTAAGACCAGTTGTTGAATCTTGAGGAAATTAGTGTTCTAGAAATTCCCTTAAGGCTGATGGAACCAAAATTCGCGCTTTCAAAGACGTAAATGTGAAAACCTGGCGATAGCACCACCGCGTGCACTGAGGCGGCCATCAGCGCCTGCGCAGTCGAGAACGGCAGCTGCCCACATTCCTCAAACCCCCGACGTCGCTCAGACAGGACACAGGCGAGTATTCACTGGGATGACATCCAGTCCTTCCCCTGACCATCTGTTGACCGTTAACTACAGAGCGTGATGCCGACACACTCGCCGACAATGACAGCTCCAGTCTTTGAACGTCTATTCCGCTCCTCCATAACTTTGGGCCAGAGGAGAAATCGGTGGACGGCGTATCAATTTCTTATATTCTGGAGGAAACTAGTGTTCCCGTCTACTTAAAGACATTTTAGAATAGACAGACGCGCGAAAGCAGTATACTGTCCACTCTTGTCGACAAGAGTGGATTAAATCCTTAAAGGCACTTAATCCAAGCTTGTGTTTGTAATACAATTCACTCAGCTATGTCATCAGATGATACTCTCGAAAGGCTCAGACGCACTAGAAGGCTTTTCAGCGCAAAGTTACTGCCCTAGTAGCAAGTCCATAGCGAGGCAACAGCGCCTCGCTGTGGGAAAGTCGCGATAGTATGACCGATTTATGGCGAATCTAGTCCATTTGGTAGCTATGGAACCACCGGTGAAAAGTCGCGATACGGCGCTATGCAGTTGCGGGACGTCCTCCCTTTGCGACGTTTGCCTTTTAGCGCCCCCATCCGATCTATTACTATACGTACTACGTGGGCCCCCAAAAACTTATATGAAGGCTTTCTTCATGTATCAAAAATAAGGTTTTATTACAAAGATAAACTACAAAAATTATTATATCGCCTCATACGGCCTGGTCGATGAAGGTTCTGTTGACGGTCCTAAACCAAGTTGGTGTACTAAGAGTACGGCTACACTGACCATCAGAGTCAACCAGCATGGAGTCCGCCTGGGAACGTCGCTTTCGTAGGGCCTCGAGTTCATACATGTCGACCCTCCCCCCCTAGTAGCAAACTATATTGATACGATATCGAGTAGGTATCTATTTTCCGAGACACTCCGAAATCGGTGACAGCGACAGGTCAGGCACTGCGCACGCTGCGTTTGCTTATTTTAATACCCGGACTTTATTTTATTACTGTCCGTTTGCATTTGTCATCCCATTAGCGGCCTACTTAGCCAGCTGTTGTACGCGTTATAACGCGCTGAACGGCCAAATCCAGGCGACTATTTTAACGGTGACTAATTGACCAAAATAATTATTTCGAAGACATGGTAACTGGAAAAATTTTATTGAATAAAATAATTTAAAAAAGTTAATACATTGACGGGGCTTGTGAGGATGGTTTGCGAGCACTGCAGGGAGGAAGTGGTTATAGTGATAAGATTACTAATATCACAAAAAATCGTCACTCAACTGTTCCCTGTGCGTTTGTAGACATTTCTATGAGCCAGACAAGTTGCAGAAATCCACCACGTGAACGAAAGTCGGCCCTGGAAGAAGCGTTGTATTATTTCAACGGAGAAGGCATATCTTCGCCTGTAAGTTATACGACTTGACGCTGTTCTGATTCCTAGGAAATAAACGACAGCCAATATGATATGGAAGACTCCAATGACACCCCTTCCCCCAAGGGAGCCCATGCGAGTCGAGGGTAATAAACTGTCTTTCAACTGACCTATCTCACAGAGTTGCACGAAACGATGCCCAGTGACCGACTTGCGAATTGGGACAGGGCCGTAGCCCTCCTAATCCAACACAAGGCGAGAATGTCTAAAAGGCTAGACACTATCCTTGATAGTAACCGCCTGTTACACGGTCGAATACCGGAACTGGAGGGCAAGGTAAATCAAAGGCCACCTGCGCCTGGGGCTACACCGCTGCCACAAAAGCCAATCGAAAGGCCTATGCGGACGGCAGCGGATTCCACCAGCTCAACGCACTATTGGATGTCACTGGAATAAGTTGTAGGCTTTTGTACATTTTTGATTTGTTTCACTACACTTTCTTGTGCATCTGACTTTCCTGTACATTTGTTTGACTAAACGGAAATACGCTGGAACAACGCTGCGGCGGTCAACGTGTGTTCTGGTTTCTAGTGTGCTTGATGTCGTTATTTCTTGGCCTTCGCTTGTAACCTCTCAACATTCTTAGCAATTCGTATGAGCTGACGGAGACTCCCTCCTCACAAGCCTACTTCACCATATCATCGCGGAATCGACTGCCTCTAGTCAACCGGTTCCTCGTCGGAATACCATCTCGCTCCTTGAGAGGATTCTACTTTGCGTGAGTCCGGAACATTCCTTTTCTGATTCTTCGAATTTGTACATCCTTTTTTTTGTTGTTAAACACAATTCCCCCATTTGGAGTTAGTTTTTCCTGTAAATATTACTGTTTGTAGTTTTCAAGTCAACGTTTCCACTACAAAATTGGTGACCCCGCTTTTTCCTGCATTCCGAACCTTTTTTATTTACCATGGCCAGTAACGACAACCAAAAAGACTCACTCGACATTAACACCCTTACTTTCAAACTGCCACCGTTTACACCGAGCAATCCTCGTGTTTGGTTCAGGCAGATCGAGGCTCTTTTTGCGACAAACCGCATTACTAGCGAGCGTGCCCGCTATTCGTACGTTTTGCAGTCCCTCCCATTTGATGTAGCTGTCACCGTCGAAGACCTCCTTGACCCCATTCCAGCCGACGAACCGTATACGCGGCTGAAGGAAGCCGTAATACAACGGGTAGCTAAATCGGCCAACCTTATGCTGCGGGAACTTTTCACGCAAGTAGAGCCAGGTGATCAGACACCTTCCCAGCTCATGCGTTAAATGCGCTCACTTCTCGCTGGTAGGCACATGGACGACGCCATTTTTCGCGAGGTTTCGTTAGAAAAGTTACCGGTGCCAATGCAACAGGTTTTGGCTATGTTGGACTCGAATACACCCTTAGAGAAGCTAGCTACCCACGCTGACAGAATCAAGGAGTGTTACCCCATTGATGCCTCGTGTTCCAATATTCATCAGCCCCCGCCTTCCAAAGGCAAGCCCCATCAGGGCATTGACTTTGATTCAGAAGGCTCAGCATTATCAGAGCACGACACTCCCTATACGAAAAAAACACCATGCTGTTGCACAACCCGACGAGCGCCCACATCAGCCGGTCCTCCCAGACCACCCGCCGACGCTTATCGCACCGATTACGACGACCTAAGAGACACTGTATGCCTCCTTTGCACTCAGGTGAGCAACATGTGCTCTGCTCTTAACAGTCTTCAATCGGCTAGAAAACAGCCATACTCACATCGTCGGTCTAAATCCCGTGAGCGGCGTTCACAACCATTATGTTGGTATCATCGCACTTATGGCCCGAAAGTGCATACCTCCTTGTTCGTTCGCTCGTCCTTCACAGTTAAACGACCACGCCGGCCGGTAATGGCGACGGCTGCTGCTGGCCCGTCGCGACCCAGTCGCCTTTTCTATATCAACGACAAGTCGAGCGGCCTCCGTTTCCTTGTTGATACGGGTGCCGAGGTTAGTGTCATCCCGCCTCTAAGGCGTCACCGCCTCAAGCCTTCGCAGTTCTCATTGCAGGCTGCAAATAGCACCACAATCAGCACCTACGGCCAACGGTCCCTCACTTTAGATCTTGGTCTCCGGCGACGTTTTCAATGGGTCTTTATTGAGGCTGACGTCAAATCGCCCATTATCGGGGCCGACTTTTTGCCATCTTTCGGCTTAACAGTCGATGTCAGACACCGTCGCCACACAGACACAACCACCCAACTCTTTTCCATAGGTACCATTAGTTCTGAGCGTTCCGTTGGCATTCATCTCACCATCCATAGCACCCCTTTCGCTGACATTTTGAAGGACTACCCGTCCATCACTAAACCATGTCATTTTACCGAAACCGTTCAACACGGAGTGAAACACCACATTGTCACGGCAGGGCAACCAGTGCACGCTCGTCCGCGTAGACTCCACCCTGACAAACTCCGAATAGCAAAGAACGAATTTGAACATATGATGAATCTGGGCATTATACGCCCTTCATCTAGCCCATGGGCCCCACCCCTGCACATGGTGTCAAAGAAGTCCCCTGACAATTGGTGACCGTGCGGTGATTATCGAGCCCTAAACAGGTCCACAATTCCTGACCGGTACCCCATTCCCCACATTCATGACTTTTCCCACATGTTAGCCGGTAAAACTATTTTTTCCAAGATAGACCTCGTCAGGGCGTACCACCAAATCCCGGTCGCTGAGGAAGATATCCCAAAGACCGCTATCACGACACCCTTTGGGCTGTTCGAATTTATTCGCATGTCTTTTGGTTTGCGCAATGCTGCCCAGTCGTTTCAGCGCTTCATCGATGAGATCTTGCGGGGCCTTCCATTCGCTTACGCCTACATCGACGACATACTCGTCGCAAGCTCTTCTGCAGAGGAACATGCCTCGCGTTTACGCCTCATATTCGATCGTTTCCAACAACACGGTTTGCAATTTAACGTCGACAAATGCGTTTTTGGCGTTAATCCTCTCGATCTCCTTGGCCATCACGTCGATCAGCACGGAATCACTCCACTTACAGAGGTGCAATGCATCTTGTCTTTCCCTGTTCCCAACACACTCACTCAGCTGCGACGTTTCATAGGCCTTATCAACTATTACAGACGTTTTATTCCCCATTGTGCGGCAATCCTGGCTCCCTTGACTGACCTTTTGAAGTCCAAAGCAAAACCTATTGAACTTTCCCCGGCAGCCCATGCAGCTTTTGAGGAAGCGAAGAAGGCTCTTGCCGATGCCACCATGCTGCACCGCCTCAGCTCTGACGCTCATGCACAGCTCATTTTGACCACTGACGCTTCCACCACTGCTGTCGGCGCAGTCTTGCATCAACAGGTGAATAACCAGTTTCAGCCTTTAGCTTTCTTTTCACAGAAGCTACAACCGGCGCAGACTCGCTACAGTACTTTCCCTCGCGAGCTCCTTGCCATCTACTTGGCCATACGTCACTTTCGACACCTTTTAGAGGGCAGAGACTTTCCGGTCCACACCGACCACAAACCTCTCACTTACGCCCTGAAGGCCAAGCCAGATCGGTACTCGCCCAGGGAAGTTCGTCACCTGGACTATATGTCGCAGTTTACTGCAGATATCCGCTACGTCCGAGGCAGCGACAATGTCGTTGCTGATGCATTATCCCGTCCGGACATCAACACACTCACATCCGATTTCGACCTGGCGAAGCTTGCAGACCTCCAAACAGCAGACGAGTCCATCGCGGACTTACGTACGTCTACTACTCTGCAGCTTCGAGATGCACCACTTCCTGCGTCACCAGGTACGATTTTGCGCGATTGGTCCACAGGCACCCCTCGTCCTGTTGTTCCACTACCCTATCGTAAGGTCGTCTTTGACCACTTTCACTCTCTCTCCCACCCTGGCATTCGCCCCGGACGTAAGTTAATTGCGGCTCGTTTTGCTTGGCCGAAGATGAATTCCGACACTGCTCTTTGGAGCAAACAGTGTTTCGCATGCCAGAAGAACAAGGTGCATCGACACACCTTCTCCCCTCCAAGTACCTGTGCGGCCCCGGACGTTCGATTTAATCACGTTCACTTGGATTTAATCGGACCGTTACCCCCTTCACGTGGGTACACACATATCCTGACGGCAGTTGACCGTTTCACACGATGGCCGATTGCCGTTCCTATCTCGGATACCTCGGCAGAAAATATCGCCATGGTTTTTCTGACCCACTGGATCTCAACTTTTGATGTTCCAGCCACCCTAACCACTGACCGCGGAAGTCAATTCCAATCTGGCCTCTTCCGCGAGTTCACTAGACTGCTCGGGTGTGCGCACATCACAACCACGGCATACCATCCTGCCTCCAACGGCCTCGTTGAGCGTCTACACCGCCAACTCAAGTCCGCACTGAGTCAGCTACTTGGAGTGTCAATCTCCCTCTTGTGCTTTTGGGCACCCGATCTTCTGTCAAGGAGGACATCCAATGCACTGCCGCCGAACTTGTGTACGGTACACCCCTCCGTCTGCCTGGCGAATTGGTGCAGCCTTCCACAACAAACACTAACATCACGAGCACCTTCGTACATCAGTTGAAACAACGCATGGCTCAACTGCGTCCAACCCCCACTCGTCTGACCTCGAAACACGTGTTTGTACACGAGGACCTTAAATCCGCCCCTTTTGTTTTCGTCCGGCATGACGCAGTGCGCAAGCCCCTTTGTTCTCCCTACGATGGCCCATATAAGGTCGTTCAGCGGAATGACAAGTTTTACGTCCTTCAGAAGGCTGATAAGACTGACACGGTCTCCATTGACCGCCTTACGCCAGCCTGTCTGGAGTGCCTCCCGTCGACCAGTGCGCCATCCATTCCCCCTACTATGTCCTCACCCGATACACCCACTCCGCTCACCTACCCTCCATCACCACACTTGACCATTCTACCCACCCAACCGGATCCTCCTCCTACACCACCGCCTATTTCATCTCGTTCCGGTAGACATATTCGTTTTCCCGCCAAACTTAAGGACTTTGTAGTGTAATTTTTTTCTTTTTCCGTTTTATTTTATCGAGCGTTTTGTTTCTTTGGCAAACGCTCTGGTGGGGGAGTTGTGTAGGCTTTTGTACATTTTTGATTTGTTTCACTACACTTTCTTGTGCATCTGACTTTCCTGTACATTTGTTTGACTAAACGGAAATACGCTGGAACAACGCTGCGGCGGTCAACGTGTGTTCTGGTTTCTAGTGTGCTTGA